GAGTCCCCCCGGGCCGGGTCCAAACGCACACTCACAACTGCAGCACCATCACTCCTTCTTTCCCCCAAACCCACAGCTGTCCTAACCTTTATCTTCTCGCAGTTACACAGCCTCCTATTGCTTGAGCCAGAGTCACAGTCCCATGCCAGCATCCAAGCATTGTCTGAGATGTCCAGTACATGAACTTCTAGGTCACGTTGACCTAGTGCACATTTCCTTTTTCTAAACATGAACAGAGCATACAAACTGTTCACATAAGGCTGAAGCTATGTCCATCCCCCATTCAAGGAGGAATTCTCTCTGGATGTTTACCCATAAATTAAACAAGGAGGACACAAGCCAAGATATTCTTGCTTGAGCAAGAGAAGAGAAGAGAAACAGATCAAGCTTACATAAACACTTAGCTCACCCTTACATAACTATTACAAATATCTATATATGAACTACACACTATTCTATTACAAATTACCTCTGGGCTGGTACCTTGTTTGTTTTTAACCACCACACTACAAAAACAACAACAAAATTCTGATCTTTCATGTCTTTATTGAGAACAACCATACTCTTTAGTCAGTGATGCACACCTTCCCCACATGATGACTTGGGTTTTTGTTTTAGTTTTTTACATTAACCTGAGAAACCTTTGGCTGTACTTAAGTCACAGAATCCTTGAGCTTCAGTTTAAATAAAGCTTTTGTGCAGGAATATAGTGTTGTGCAGTCAAAACACAGAAATATTGTGCCATTATTACGAGATAAATCAAAATTATCAGATAATCTAGAAATAAATCAGTCTAATTCAACAGTTCTGCAATCAGTCATTTATGAAGGTGATTAAAGTTGAGTTTCTATTGAACCTGTTGAACACACACTGATGAGTGACACTGTTTACTATTATGACCACATTAATAACATCAAGTTGTGGAAAACTAATTTGGTTCTCATATGTGCAGTGAGGTTGGTTTAAGACGATTATGCATGTCACAGCCACTGAAAGATGGACACCAGTATGATTCATTTAATGTTTGCATGTGACTTGAGCTTTCATTTTTGTGATGATTCTGTGTGTTGCAGGTGCAACCGGAGAGGAGCAGTGGCCTCAGGCTCTAAAACCGGAAGAAATCTGTAGGACACAATAAAATGTTGTATATGGGAAATCTTTTTAAATGTATTTTAATGTTTGAATACAGCTTTATAATTAGGTTTACATTGTTTTTTTTATGTGGCTTCAAATGCTGAATTTATTGCATAGCTATTAAATTGTTTTGGTTTATTGTAAATGTGTGCCTAAAAAGTGGTAACTCTAGACCTTGGGTACTGTAACTTTATTTGACAAAACCACAAGGACTGTTTAGGACCAGCTCTGGTGCTTTTCATCACAACGTGATCTTCATCAGAAGATGTAACTTGCTCAGTCAACTTGTAGATCTTCATATTTGCATTTTCAGAGTAATAAAACAAATGTCCTACAGAAAAATGGCAGTGTTTTCTGCTCTGCTTCTTATCTGGACTGTCTAGTGCTTATTACAGTTGAGTGCAAAAATCAGTGTCCGTTTACTTTGAGATGGCAAAAAGAGAAACGATTTTTTTTTCTTTAACACTTTTGCTTGATTGTCTATGTACAACCCTCTTCAAATTTATCCGCAGTTTTTCAGTGATACTGGTCAATTTGAGAAATATATAAGGAGCAGATTCCTGTATTCTTCACCTTAAGTGAATATTATATATATTTTAGAACAGTGTTATCCCATGCGTGCAGTGTAAGTGCTACAACTGGTTATATGAATTGAGAGTACAGTTTGGACCTTAGCAGATGCCATGTAGAATTAGCGAAGTCATTTATGGCATAATACAAGAATCCAGTGAAATTTCAAAGTACCTTAATTTCTGAATCCACCATACTATGCTATACTGTAGTGGCTATTAAATTTAAACTTTGAACTTGAGACAAAGTGACAATCAAAAATACTACTGGGATGCCACAGGGATGCAGGCAAAAGAAGTCTGTTCATACAAAACTGTTGCAGTCTTTTATTTTTAGCCACGAGAAGCAAACAAACAAAAAAATTATGCCCTTGCTGTCTCTCTTGCTCTGACAAGAAAACAAATCCTCCCAGGTGCATGCTAGTCCCGTACAGCCCTTTATAGAGTAATGCTGCCTAGTACTTACAAAGCAGCTTGTGGTGGGAGAAACTGGGATGATGTGCTTTTCCTTGAAAATACAATCTCGATGACTATAGAAATATTTCCACAAAGATGAATGCAATGTTGGACTTAAGGTGAGTGTCTTGACACCGACCCTGGTCTGTTTTGTCTTTCCTACTATACATACTGTCCAGCTTTGAGATGCCTTCAGAATAATCCAAGTCAAATCTGTATAATCATTTGTCCAATATCTGCTTAGCAACACACTGAGCAGGGAGTTATTCTCCTGGAGCAGTAGGACTTGAATTTTTGGGGTGTGTGTGTGTGTGTGTGTGTGTGTGGGTGTGTGTGTGGTTTTCAGGAACACTGAAAGGTATCAAAAGAGATTAAGGAAGATAGATGGGGCTCTCAGCCAGAGAGACCTGATTGTTGATGTTGGGATTCACCACACAGCCCCAATTAAACTTACCAGCAAAAGAAAACACTAAATCAATTGTATAAATGATTATAATAAAGATAAGTAATTAAAATGCAAAACAAAGAACAAACTGCATTGACACTGTACAATATTACATGGTATATCAAACTGTATGGTCATAAAAATAATGAGGCCTCTTGTTAATACTTTCAGATTAAATCAGTGCCCTTTTACTTTGAAGGATGGCTGCTGATGAGGCTGATTTGTAACTTGACCAATCACAAAACAAGTGGGCAATGAAAGAGGGGTGTGATTACTCATTTTCTTTACTGCTTAGTCCCAAAGGGGGTCACAGGGGCCGGAGCCGGGTGTGATTACATATAACATTATTGCATTTTAATTTCTGTGGAATATCTTTACACAAGTTGAAATAAAACCATGTTTGCTTAGCACTGTTTGTTCACAGTAAGAAGGTTCTGGATTCAAAATCAAATTAGGGCCTTTCTGTCTGGAGTTTGTGTGATCTTCCTATGCCTGCGTGGGTTTTCTCCAGCTACAGTGTCTTCTTCCCAGTTCACAGACATGCAGGTTATGGGGACTCTAAATTGTGTGAAGGTGAGTCTGTCTCTATACATGAGCCCTGTGATACACTGTCCAGTATTTACATCGCCTCTCACCAAATGTTGGCTGTGATAGGCTCCTGCTTCCATATGCCCTTACTGTATAAGTGGTCCACACCACTTTTCAGGAGCATTCAGGCCATGAATGGGACGATACACTGTGGTGATGAGGGCTGACTTAGACAATTTGACTTTACCTGATGGCAGTGATCTTGCTCAGTAAGTTCTCATTACCTCGCTCATGAAGGGAACCAACAAGGCAGACTCATACTTGTCTTGTTAACACCATGCATTGCAAAAAAGACTACATTTCTATCACTTTCAGGTTAAATTTCTTGGACATGTGCGCTCCGATAGCCATGGTTTCCTCTCACCTGCAATCCAACAGCAGATGATGGCATTTGTAATCATGGCTGGAAGACGACTACTCTCCTGATTCTTAGGTTAAGGAGCCCACTGATATTCAGTGGACATCTGCCATGAACATAGTTGTTAAGAAATCAATCACAAATAGTAAATACAATACCATCAGCATGCTATTGTTACCAAGAGGCAGTCTCTACCTCACAACTGTGCTGACAGAGTTTTATGTCATGGTCGCACATTAATCCTTTCTTCTTTTTTTTTTAGGATAGAGGATATGGGAATTTGTTCAATCAATGTTACTAAGCTCTCAGTGCTAGTCGACTGTGTGTACCGGCTTGACTTTGTCTAAAATATGACATAAGCCACAACAGATGTTACAACAGAGGTGCATAAGATAGAGAGTAACATAAGGAGACATTTTAAAAGCAACCACTTTTTTTTTTTAATTTTGATAGAGGCCTCCTGTCATCTGTTGCTCCAACTGACTTCATTTGACTGCAACAATGTCAGATAGTCTGCTGACCTTGTAGCCCAGTAGCAGGATCTTCCATTTCCCAAACAACTGCTATAGAAACATTTTAATCAAGGATTTTGTACTTAATACAGATTTTTAGGCCACTGTGTACTGTGGATGACGAGTTACAAGAGATGGAGACATAAAAGTAGAGAAAGCTCCAATCCCATCTGAGAGTTGCTCCAACATCAACAACAAAGTGTAAGTTCAAGGATATGAAGAAACGGGTCAAATTAGACAGCATTCAGAGAGTGCAAACCTCCAAGGAGCAACTCATGATACCATTAAAGCAATATTCTGTGGACCATGGGCAAAGTGGTGAAGACATCACATTTCTGCAAGTTTGTGCTCTGTTTGTTCAACAGCTGTTTGATAAAGTGCTCATACAGTCTCCGTTGCTGGCAGTGTCTCTATATTGCACTCACTGAGTGCAATATAGAGACACCTCTGAATATAATGTAGCCCAGTACAACACCAGTTTTAACAATGACTTCAATAGTAAACATATAATTGAATTTATACATTTATGACCATTTCACCAAAAACAAACATTTTGAGCTTCATAAACTGATGTTAAGACAGAAGTGTTGCCTTGAATTACATATATAGGTGTAGGGTGGTGCAGCGGTTAGCTCTGTCGCCTCATAGCAAACTAAGTTATGGGTTGAAATCCAGGCCAAACCAGGGCTTTTCTGTGCAGAGTTTGCATGTTCTCCCTGTACCTATGTGGGCTCTTTCAAAAATCAGGTTTTTGATATTTCTTTAAAGGAGTTCACAGGACAAGTGATTTACAGAGCAGATGTGAGCTGTAGCAGACACAAAGTTTAATTTCCCCTGGACTTTAATGATCCAGAGAGTAGTACATGTCAATTTCAACATCTTTCTGACGTACCAGTGAAACTCATTGCCCACACACTGACATGTTCTGGTGGGTTCCAAATGATTGTGCAAACTTTGTCATACTTTATTATATCATTCAAATAAATTGTGTCTCCCATTCACTCACTTCCTTGACAGTTCCTAAAAGCACCAAAGGGGCACAGTAGATTTAACAGCTTTTGAATATACTGTATGCTAAAATCACAGACTATCACACTCTCCTGTGTTTTGATAGCTTTGTATTCATGCCACATAGAACACACAGCACAGTTCTCTTAAAAGCAGACTGAAATGTGGTGCTTCAAGTGGACAGGGTCTGTACATTTAGAGTTTGTTTGAACCAAACAGATTAGGTATGAAAGTAGGTGTAAAATAGACATATCTCTTGAAAGACAAACAGCAACTAAGCTGAACCAGCCAAATGGACCTGTGCTAAGTGGCTTGCACGTATTGCCTATAATTTGTTTCAAGCCCTTGACTGGGTTATTGTTGTGCTTTGACTGGCTAGCTAAAGATTCAACTGTAATCGTTCCTGTTAGACTGTTTCCAGGTGCACCTGTTCCCCACTGTGAAAAGCAGAGGGGCAGTTTTTCACATTTGTCTGAGTCTCATCTGTGTTAGGAGTAGATAGACCAGTAGATGATATTGAAGAGGATGTAGGATCCAGGAAAAATGACCCGAGAGTACTTGTCTATTGCATGTGTGTCGATCCAGACATTACTATAGGTGCTGGAGCCTACATGGCCAGTGACCTGGTCACTTCCCATTGCCAACTGCACCAACATCCTCTCCTGCTTCATCCCGTTCTCTTCTGGCATGCCATAGTTCCCTGTGGTGTTGGTATCCACCTCACTGTAACTGGCTGACATCATACCAGGGTGGGCCAAACCACAGGTACACAGCAGCTGCAAGGAGACAACAAATACTGTATATTCACAAAAACAACTCGCAGTACAAATAAGCTTTTCACTCCAGGCAACTATTTGTAACTCAAAGAGCCACCACACAGATTATTGAAAATTTTGTATCTTCTTTTGTTGAAATTTTAAGAATGAGAAAAACTATATTTTACATAAAGAGTAGCTATTATGGCCTCTTTTGACCCATCTTTATAAATATTGAGTGTATTTTAACATAGAGTTGTTCATATTTCTCCAAATCAGTCTTGCCAAACAGCCCAGATTCACCTCTGTTCTCTATCAGTCTGTTTCAGATGTTATTAACTTAAATGTAGATTACTCATGGGAACTTATTCTGATTGCCTGGAGATGATGACTCTTCTTCACCTCCAGCCAATCAGAAAAGGCCGTAATGAATAATACAAATGCCCCTAGATGGTTGTTACCTTGCATTATGGCTGCAGCTGGATAGGCAAGATAGCAGAGATTTATGGATCATTATGATTCTGAAAGGGAAGCAGACAAACCTGCTGTTGCAGACTAGAGGCTTCAACTGGAGGTTTCAGAACTATAGTTTTTTTTTTCAAACCTAGCAGGAGGCACCTAGTGTAGCTTTAGCACAGCTATTTTTATTTATCTCTTTATGCATGGCACTGTGCAGGGAGAGGATTTATCGTTGCATATCCAATTAAATGCCAGGGTATGATATCAAAAGAGGCACAGTTTCAGAACTGCTCACTCTCCAGGCAGGGAATTCAAATTTTAAATAACATAAAAAGAACATAGAGAAAGACTTTAGTGATTTGACAGCTGAGGAGGACTTTGGCCATCACCTTGATGCATCTCAAAACTAATTTCTTTTTTGTTTGTTTGTTTTGGTTTCCATCATATCACTACTTTGATAAATCTTCATAATGCTTTTGTCCATTTTCATCAAAGAAGGTAAACATATTAACAAGACTTCAAACATCTAAAATGTTCAGGGTGGCGATGCTAATATGATGCTGTTCATCTGAGTATTCTTACCATTTTCACCATCACAGATGCTAACATGCTAACATTATTAGCATTTAATATTAAAGCACACACTAAACACAAAGTACTGCGACTGATGGATGTCTCATTATTTTTGCACGTATTTGGTCATAAAACAAAGTATTGCACAAATTTTGACCTGATGTTGGGCAACATTAGTGTTATTAGGATTTGGTCTTTGGGATCCTAAACAGCTGTATCAGCAATTCATGACAACCCAAGCAATCACTGTTGAGCTATTGGGCTGACTGAAAAACCAAATAAACCAGCAGTGCCATCTCGGTAGCGTGACTTAAGTAAATGTACGTCTATCTCTTGGTATGTGTGAACCTGAAGGTGAGTGATTGGTACTAACCCTCTCTCGGAGTTTCCGCTCCTTGCGCTCTTGTAGTGTTGACAGGTAGTTGACCGCAGCATACTCTATCACTGACAGGAAGACAAAGACAAAACTGACCCAAAGATAAATATCCACAGCTTTGATGTAGGAGACCCTGGGCATGGAGGCATTGACTCCAGTGATAATGGTGGACATGGTGAGCACCGTAGTTATACCTGAAGCAGGAAGGAATGTTCAGAACACATAAAAGCAGTCTCATATCAGACATACAAGTTGTAGTAATAAACAAGAGGGGGGAAAAAAAATCAACATTTACAAGTCACATTTGATTAGTTAAATTTATGTAACTACCCCTTGTTCAAAATGAGTTATCAAACATATATATGTTTTAATTAAACAGAAAAGAGATTGAAATAAAAATACCACATTATATTTATGACATATTTAGCTTGTGACAAGAGATAATGAACAGTTAACAGGGAAAAAGAGTCAGAATTGGAAAATGTGTTTTTCATTTCACTGTCTTTAAAATGAATCATTAATAATGATTAAACATTAACCATAATAAAATTTAATAAAATTGCAAATTAACTTTCTTATTATCATTAAAACACTGCTAACATGATTATTAAATAGCATTCAAAATTATTCTTTATTTTTCAAACATTTTTAGTTTATATTTTTTTCAAACATCACTTGTATACAAATGAAAAAATACATTTCACTTTGATTATTTTATTTCATTTTAGTCAGTTGGTGGCTTATGATATGAAAAATCTGCTCATTTGTGAGAGCTACGAATTAAGCCACTCCATCAATTATCTAACAATGGCTAATCCCTCTCACCCAGAGGCACTCTGGCAGGGACAGCCCTGCGGTCGATCCAGAAGGACACCCAGGACAACATGACCATCAGAGTGGCAGGGAAGTAGGTCTGCAGCAGGAAAAAGAAGATGTGGCGTCGCAGAGTGAAGTTGATGTGCAGACGGTTGTACCAGCCTGGAGAGGAGATGCTGTTAGAAGTAGCTTAGCCCAAAGATACTGTAGGCCTGTATTAAAAGTTAGCTCTGCACCTTCTGCCAGTACCTGTGCTGCTGTAGAAGGCCATCTTAGTGGTGGTGTGGAACTCCTGTATCAGAAACTGGGAGAGAGAGATCCTCTCATCTGTGTTTAGTGAGCGGTTCCCTTCCTTCCAGTATAGCATCAGATCATCATCTGTGTATGCATCTGGACAGACAAAGAACATAAATAATATCTCTGACACAAATTTTAATAGAACTAATATAAAATAACATTTGGTTGAATTTGGTAAAATGGAGATAAAATCACCCTGTACAGTCTCAATTTTTTATACAACATTGCAAAGTATAAGGTGTCATATCATTTTGATCATATGATGTCACATTTTTTGGCTAGCTGATGCAGGTTTGTGTGGACGGCTCCCAGTTAATATGTAATATGCAAGTGTCTCATGATGCCGGGATAATTTACCTCCTACTGCAGTGTCATTGCAGTTCTTCAGAGATAAAGTTTGCAATATCTTTACTAGACATTCAAAGCTGTTCTTCTTTGTCACCATAATCATTTTTGGACACAGTCCAGTGAAATAAGCTGTGATTTATAAGTAGCAGAAGGCTGAAATTTAAAAAGTCTTTCTTCAGGACTCTGCTGAGGCTCAGCCCACAAAGAGCCTTACTCATATATCCAGATTGGCTAAACAGAGCCTGACATTTATGAGTTTTGCCCACGTCTTGTATTACTGCAGCAATGATGAAACGCTGGCAGTATGGCATGCTGTAGCAGACAGGCAGATAAGATATATGCAGTTTTTAAGTAGGGCTGAGGCAGAGTAAGTTAGCATCACAGAGAACTGGGGCCTCAGGAGTCTCTGGGAAAGGCAGTTAAGGCTTAGACTTCAGGCTTAGACTGTCATTTTGTTGACCAGTGTAGCTGCAAGGGACTCAGCTTTATAAGTGTGGCAATATAAAAATCTCTCACGGTACCTCTGTAGAAAGTGAAAGAGGGGACATTCATTGTAGCTCATTAAGTTGCCTTTTTACAAAGAAAGTTGGAAAAATAGAATTGTGGGAGTGGTTAGATTCCACTGAATTCCATTGGAGTCACACTCCACAATAAAAAGGGATGTATAGGACCTAATTGGGGTCAGAATGGTGGTGTCATCAGCATATTTAATGATGATGGTGTTGTCATTGTTGGAGACACAGTCGTGGGTGTACAAGGTGAAGAGTTTGGGGCTGAGACAGCAGCCCTGCGGTGAGCCTGTGCTGATTGTGAGCTCAGCAGACACCCTCCCTCCCATTCTCACTACCTGTGGTCTTTCAGTCAGGAAGTCCAGAATTTAGTTACAGGTGGGGGTTGGGACACCGAGATCTGTCATCTTCCCAATCAGCCTACCCGGGTGAATGGTGTTGAATGCAGAACTGTAATCCAGGAAGAGCATCCTAGGATATGTACTGCTGTTGTCCAGGTCTTTCAGGGTATGGAATAAAGCCAGAGCCGTCGCGTCGACAACTGATCTGTTGGGGCGGTAGGCAACTACTGCTTGGGTTAAAGACAGGTTGAAGATGTCTATATACACACTAGCTAGATGATCCCCACAGGTTCTCAACACTCTAGGGAGGCACCGTCTGGTCCTGCCACCTTATGGGGGTTTACCTGTCTCAGGGCCTTCAGGACCTATGTGTGCGTCACCTGAAAAGCAGTGTCCCCTGGGTCAGAGGGGGATTTTGAGGGGGTGTCTGTATTCAACCTGTCAAACCTCGCATAGAAGTTGATGAGGCTGTCCGGGAGGGTGGCATCCTAGGGGGCTGTGTTTGTCGATTTGTTCCTGTAGTTTGTGACTGCCTGGATTCCCTGCCACATACTGCGTGTGTTGTTATTCATATAGTAGCTCTCCAGTTTTTGGAAGTATGCTCTCTTTGCAGCTCTGATGGACTTCTGTAGCTCATACTGGGCTTTCCTGTACTCCGCATTGAATTTTATTTCCTTAATATTTACATAATGACAACAAATGAACCAGAAGAACAAACAACCCAGTGGTTCTGTGGAACTATAGAGGAGAGGAAAAGCCATCAAGCTGGATCATGTACATTACTTACAGCTCTCTATTTCCAAAGAGCAGGTTTGTGTATCAAGTGGAAAGCAGCTCAGGTCCATGCTACACATGGCTGTGACTGTCACCCTGCAATGACAAAACAATTAGATGTAGTAATGTAATGTAATAGGTTACCAGAGAAAAGATATTTTAGTTATACTCTTAGGATATGAGGATCATTGTCATATTTATTTTTTTAAATATGATATAACATTTACTCCTTAACACAAAATAACCTCACTCTATCAGCGAAGGGGATAAACAAGGTGGTTTATTTAGACATAGGCACGGTATTTTCATGTGCTCTTGGGAATCTCAGATACTTGAATATTAAGAGTCATATGGCATAAATCTCAAATTCAGTCTGGTTTTTGCTTCCAGATTTAACCATTTATTGTGGCAATATGCAAACAAATTTGGGTAAGCTTGACTCAAAGGGACCCTGTGGCAGAGCCTGAGATACATTACACAACAGCTGTTGAACACAATAATTATTGGGAGGGATACTGTAGGTCAAGAACATACATGGTGGAGGGTGTATGGACCACGTAACTATAAAATAACTTCTGTGCCTCTCTGCATTCATCAGGCCAATCAGTCACTGGCTGTTATCCTGTAAAAATCAATGTAATTCTGCCTGCTTGTCTTACAGGCCTAGGACTACACTACCCACCTCCTCCCCATCACCTCCATAGCCATTATATCCATGATGTCCTGAGACGCATTACAAAGGTTTCAACCAACCCCTTCCTGATTCTGCTCCACCACCACCAGGTTCTAGAATCTGGGGGATGTGTGTGTTTGTTCTTGTGCATGCTATATAATGAGAACCAAAAAAATGTATTTTTGCTTCTTTGTTTTTTTATTTTTCTATTGAGTGGGGACATTTTTGGCCAGTCCTCACTATGTAGTCGTTTTTACACTGAGATCTCGCACTACTGCCATTCCAAACCATCACCAACATCCTGCCCTTGTGCTGTTCATACAGATCAAGCTAAGGCCGGTATGATCACAGGCCAGCCTGTGAATTCAAACAGCAGGCCAGGATTCTGCAACAAAGGCGAAACGCAACGTCACTCTGCGTCAACTGTGATGTAAATTTTCCTGCAAAATAACAATTGCAGGAGAGATACATCCAAACAAAAACCAAAACCAGAACAGGGCCAGGGAGGGAGGCGAGGGACAGGAAGGAGGCCACAAGAAAAAAAAAAAAAAAAAAAAAGGAAAACCCGAATGACAAAACCAGCAGGAGGATGACACCAGATGTAGATGAGACAGTACCCCAGACAGTACAGTAACAGAGCGAAGCAGGACTAGGCGGGCTCTCCTCCAGGCTTGGTGACATCTACGAACCAGGGCTGATGCAGATGGCACCTGAATCTCTGGGTCTAGACTGGGGAATAAGGGTGGAGAATAGCCAATAACACACTCGAAGGGAGACATCCCAGTGGCTGTAGAAGGAAGTTGTGGGAATACTCCACCCAGGTCACGTGTTCTGACCACAGAGAAGGGTCCTGGTGACACAAGATACGCAGGCCAGTCTCCAGCTGTTGATTGATCTGCTCAGTCTGCCCGTTAGTCTGTGGGTGGAAAGCTTAAGACAGGCTGACAGATATGCCCAGGAGTCAACAGAATTCAGTCCAGAACCGGGCCATGAACTGGGGTCCTCTGTCGGACACCACATCTCTGGGAAGGCCATGTAAGCAGAATACGTGTTGAATGAGTAGCTGTGCCATCTCTTTGGCTGACGGCAATTTAGGTAAGCAAACAAAATGAACCATCTTGGAGAACCGGTCTACTATAGTGAGTATTGTGGTGTTACCTCGAGATGCAGGCAGGCTGGTGACAAAGTCCACAGAGATGTGGGTCCATGGTCTCTGGGGCACAGGAAGAGGACACAGCAGTCCTGCAGGTTTGCCGGTGGAAGTCTTACTTTTGGCACAGTCTGAACAGGCGGCCACAAACTCACGAACATCCTCTCTCAAAGTGGGCCAACAAAACCATCTCTGTATTGTGTAGCAGGTCCGTGCTACTCCAGGGATGGCAAGTGAGTTTGGTGGCATGACATCACTGCAGCACTGTGGTGCACAGTGCAGCTGGGACAAACAAATGGTTTGTGGGACAGGTGGATGACCCGGTTTTGACTCCTGGGCATCGATGACTTCCTGCTCGATGCTGAGGTGAGTGGCTCCCACACGAGCAGATTGGGGCAGGATGAAAGCTGGCTTTGCGAGTTCCTCCTCTCTGGTGTACTGGCATGAAAGAGCATCCACCTTGCCGTTGCAGTGACTTGGGCAGAAAGAGAGAGAGAAGTTGGACCGGTCAAAAAAGAGGGCCCACCTAGCCTGTCTGGGGTTCAGTCTTTTGGCCATCTGTAAGTATTCCAAGTTCTTATGATCAGCCCAGACCAGGAATGGCTGCTTGGTGTCCTCCAACCAGTGCCGCAATTCCTCTAGCGCCAACTTAACAGCCAGCAGCTCTCTTTCTCTGATGCTGTAGTTGTTCTTGGCCTGGGAGAGGTGCTTAGATAAAAAGTCACAGGGGTGTAGTTTCCCATCCTGAGCAGAGCGCTGGGACAGCACCGCCCCTACCCTGGAGTTCAAAGCATTGACCTCCACAAAGAACTGTTTCTCTGGGTCAGGCAGGGTGAGGATAGGGGCGGAACAGAAGCACTGTTTCAGGGCCAAGAACGCCTTCTCAGCCAAGGAGTCCCAGGTGAATTGTTTTGTGTTGGATGTGAGGCTGTGGAGGGGAGCATCAATGAAGCTGTAGTCCTTGATGAGCTTCCTGTAAACGTTAGCGAACCCCAGAAACTGTTGTTTGCTGATGGGAAGTAGGCGTGGACCATGCTGTCACTGCTTGGACCTTGGCAGGATCCATCTGGATGTGACCTGTGGAGATTACAAACCCCAGAAACGACACAGTAGAGACATGGAAACAACATTTCTCAGCTTTGACATATAGGTTGTTCTGGAGTAACCATTGCAAGACTGCTTTAACATGAGTGACATGGTCGGACTCAGAGGAGGAAAAAATGAGAATGTCATCTAGATAAACAAAGACAAACTTGTTCAACATATCTCCAAGTATATCGTTGATAAGGTTCAGAAAAACCACGGGCGCGTTAATTAGCCTGAACAGCATCACCAGATATTCATAATGTCTAGATGGGGTATTGAAGGCAGTCTTCCACTCATCCTCCTCTTTCATGTGTACTAGGTGATAAGCATTTCTTAGGTCCAGTTTGATGAAAATCTGTGCACCATGGAGCAGTTTGAAAGCAGATGACATCAGAAGCAGGGGGCGTCTGTTCTTAATGGTAATCTTGTTTAACCCGCAGTAGCCTATGCAGGGTCTTAGTCCTCCATCTTTTTTACCCACAAAGAAAAGTCCCAGCCGGGGAGGAGGGGGGACGAATCAGCACCGCCCTATGAGCCTCCATAATGTATCCTGTCATGGTTTTATGTTCAGGAACTGATAAAGGAAATAGTACCTGGCAGCAGGTCAATAGAGCAATCATAGGGTCTATGCAGAGGCAAAGAAGTGGCACGAGTCTTGTTAAACACTTGACATAAATCACTTGACATAAATATGCTGATGGTACTTTGTCAAGGTCTGGGATAACTTCCAACACCCTTGTCTTCTCTATCCACTGTCTGACAACAGACTGTAGACAAGTTTCTGCACACTGTCCTGACCACTCAACCACTCTCCCTGTCCCCCATTCAATCTTGACCCCATGTTTAACCAACCAGGGGTAACCTAACACCATTGAATGATGAGGTGAATGCATGACCATAAATTGTATTGTTTCTATGTGGTTCTCGATAGTCAGAGTGAGCGGTACAGTTTGAGAGGTAACACAGTGCAAAAACTTGTCATTGAGCGAATGAACCAGGACAGCAGGATCAACAGTACATAGAGGAATCTGATGTTTCTGAATGAATGCTGGGTCCATAAAACAAGCATCAGACCCAGAGTCGATGAACACCGGTACTTGTATATCATGTACATCAATAGAGAGAAGAGCCTGTACAATAGGACAAGAAGGGGTTATACCTGTCACAGTATGGCTCAGCAGCGCCCTCCCCTTTGCGCTGAGCCTTGTACCTTTTAACAGACATGAGAAGGCTCGGTGTCCTGGACCCCCACAATATAAGCACAAATTATGTTTGAACCTGTGCTCCCATTCCTCCGGGGTTAATCTTGACCTCCCAAGCTGCATAGGCTTTGGAGAATCCGATGAAGTGCCAGGGCTAGCGTGCGACGGTCCCCGGTGGCGTTCAGACTGACGCCCCTGTATCTCCCGTCTACGCGAGTGACCAGGTCCATAAGCGGCCACAGTCTTCTTGGAAGATCATAGGCGGTCAGGGCATCCTTGAGCTGGTCAGATAAGCCGTTGTAGAATGCGTCCACCAAGGCAGGCTCGGTCCAGTCGCTGGCAGTAGCTGCAGTACGAAATGTAATGATGTAGTCAACTGCAGTGCTGGAACCCTGTGACAGCGTCAGCATCGAAGGAGAAGTGGCAGAGTCGTAACAGTAGGGATCAAACACCCAGGTAAGTTCTGCTCCAAAGTCAGCAAACGTGTAGCAACAGTCTGTTCACGCAGTCCATTCAGCCGTGCCCCATTTTCTAGCTCGTCCCGTCAGCAGTGACAAGGCATAGGCCACTTTCTTCAGTAGGGAATGCTGACAGCTGCATTTCGAATAGTATCTCACATTGCGTAAGAAACGCTTGACTCTCTCCAATATCTCCTCCGTACCATTCTGGCGGAGAAAGCCTGGGCTCCTGTACAGCTGAGGCTGGGAAAGCACACGCCTCACCAGCAGTGTTCCCGGTGTCCTTGCGACCCAAATGGCACAGCTCCATTTGAATCTCACCCAGGACTATCCCCGGAGCATCATGGCTTGTTCCATACTGACACGCCAGTCACTGTCTTCCCTGCTGGCTGAGTTCATGGTGGCCAGATTGTAATGTCAGGGTTGGTGAGTAAAGCTGCCAACAATGTGGAAGGTGAACTCAATTATAATGCCAGACAAGATAAACAGATAGCTTTCTCTTTACTGAGCATAAATCACAGCATACAATGCGGAAGTCCAAAAACACAATCAGGTCGATGATAGCAGTCCAGGGTCAGTGCTGGCAAACACACACAGCCAAAGGATCCACAAATGAGAAGTCAGAGAGGGAAGTCTCCTGGAAATTAATGTAAGTTTATGCAGGGACCTAATAAGTGACAAAAACAAGGATGTGTTTGTGTGTGTGTGTGTGTATAGATGGCCCAATAGATTTTTCACTGAGGACATAAAACATATCTAACATTCAGTAGAACATATTCACAAGCAATACAGGGTTTCAGCACATAAATGAAAACACATAATCCATTTCCCAGGATAAGAGAAGGCTACATGGTCTGCAGCTGAGGTCAACAGACTGTCATCCTCACTTGGCAATCTGCCTTATTCTGAAATTTCTCCAACCAGCACCAGGCTCACACAGATTAAAACTGGCTATGGGGGATGAGCATGTTTATACTATACACTATTTACTATCAACTACTTTCTCCTGATGCATGTACTATAGACTCACCCAGGTAGGGTAGTACCACAGTCCTCTTTAAGATCAGGTTCTTTGATTACCACAAAATCTTTCATCTGTCTGGGGTGTTCTTTCTGATCTTTTGGCCCCTGCCATGAATCACATGTACAGTATATCCCTCACTTCAGTTCTAACATGTTTACTATTTCAGACCAAATAGTGAATACCAGTGAATCCAGATTTGCAAATGGTGATGCCATCATTTAAATTTTGTTTGTGACAGTCTGCCAGGAAGGCAGTGCTATGTGCGAGTATTCACAACAGGAGGCAGATGGCCAGCTGTTACTCTCTGCCAAGCTCTGTAATGTGGATTACAAAATAAACTATCTTGGATCAGACCCTCCTATTGCTTGCCAAAATGACAAGGTCGTGCTCATTTGTATTAGTGGCCATAATTGGCAGAACATTATCCCCTTAAATACACATCTTGTACTGTGACAGCTGGTGGCATTTTGTCTTGTGGGACAACCAATGACAGTTACATCTCAGCACACCCACTAACATCATAATCTGCCCCACTGATACAGCATGTATCAAATACTATGATAAAGAGTGGGCTATACTGAAATCCATTTTGTGAAGTTTGCAAGGATACTGTTTTTCAGGGAACATTGAGCGAAAACTGCTCAGTTTATTAAACCCATGAAGTAAATCCTGCTTTATGAAGGTGAGAATGCTCAGTTTGTGTTGAAACTGTTTTAGCTGGGTGTTGCTTCAATTGTATGGTCACCTTGAATGCTATAGCTTGTCCTTCTGCTACTGGTCATATTACTAGTAGTTCTTAGCATACCTCTATACTGTGAATCCACACTTCATTTCTTGACAAATCACAGACAGCAGAGTTCTTTATCAGTAAATTCATTTTTTTCCTTACTTACTCAAAATCTGGTTGTACTGCATTGAAAAAGTGTTACTGGCATCACTCAGTGTTACTCAGGGTGAGCTGCACTGTTTGCTGCACTGAAACACTATCAAAACAAAAAACAAAATGCAATTCACTGCTGCTTGATGTTAGTTAGGTAATGTACAGTGTGTGCGCTGCTGGAAATGATACTGATGCCAGTAAGACTTTACAATAGAGTAAACATAGTCCCTTAATTGAATGTTTATGTAAACATGCTGATAAATTGAGTTTGAGCCCGGGCCGGCCTTTCTATGTGGAGTCTGCATGTTATCCCTGTGCCTGCTTGGGTTCTTTCCAGGTACTCCATCTTCCTCCCACCAAAGACATACAGCTTAGGATGACCGGTGACTCTAAATTGCCAATAGGAGTGAGTGTGAGTATGTGTGGTTGCTTGTCTGTCCCTAAGTGTCAGCCCTGTGACAGACTGGTGACCTGTCCAGGGTGGACCCTGCCTGTCATCTAATGTCAGCTGGGATTGGCTCCAGCCCCACACAACCCTTTTCAGGAATAAGCAGTATAGATAATGGATGGATGGATAAATCAGAATTTGTGTTACAGGACATCACATTTTTTAAGAAAATTGGTTTAGTTGCTTTCTTCCTAAGAGCAAGATGAGAAAATGATCTGTCTTTTGTCCATATGTTAAGGAGAGAGATGGAATCCGGATGTTATTATCTTATCCTATCATAAAGACTGGAAACAGAGAGAAACAGCTAGCCTGGCTCTTTCTAATGTTCAAAGACACACAAACTAACAGCTCTAAAGCTGTGTTATTTACTATATATTGTTACTTACTATAATCTTATTTACTAGAATTGTTCATGAACAGAAATATAAAAACTACATTTAGGGAGTTTATGTCTCAAAACTGTTGACTGTTACTTTTATCCACCTAGTGCAGATATCCAGTCAGTATAGGTTTTTGTCATTGTACAAACATGATAATATCAAATATAGTGATAACAGGACCCCAGGAAAGTCTCTGCGGCTGGCCATTATTCACCAAGAAATAGTTCTAAGTTGTAGGTAAGTAGTAGGTCCATCTCAATCAAAACCAATTAAATGTGTTTCCCAAAATTTAAACAGTCTTTGACCTAACAATGATCCTTGGTAAGTTCATACATGTTGGGCCCTGCTGGCAGACAGAGGGAATTACCTGAGACTGTAGAGGACTTTGCCATCGGGGTAAACCCGCAGCATGACATTGTCAGTGGTGGTGTCATGTGTGAAGGACTTCTTAGAGTGGACAAAAAACATATCAGGTACCCAGATTTTCTTCACCAGTCGGCCATCAAAAGTCATACTCTGGTTGGTATTGCTTTTGAAGGACAGACGTTCATCTTTCCAGTAGTGCCTCAAATAGAGGGTCATAGTAAAGTCCTTGAAAAACAAATAAATGTCATTTTCAGTACTTTATCACCTAACAACATGTATAAATGTCTTACTAACACTTTGGTACAGACATACCATATCAACCTCTGAAATTGCATCAAGACTTTCAACCTGAACATCCACTCCAACTGGGACTGCAGGCCCTAGAAAAAAAATACAGCACAGAACAAAGATACATCAACTTGAAATTTATAATAGTGTTGACTTGAATATTATCTTAAAATACATAAGTGGGTTGTAAGAGTGTAGATATTCTACCTCATTCAATCTTGTCTAGATTATCTGTGTTTATCTAAAGGTCCTGACTCCTTTTTGTGCCAGCCCCTTTGCTTCAAACAATAACTTCTCATTCACTCAAATAAAAGCAGCTAGGTGCAGATTTCCCACAAAATGGCACAGTGCCAGTAGAGGAAATACTCTAATCCTAAATGACATCATAGTGCAAGTTGGCATTTCTTCATTTTTGATTAGTTTTTAATGGGGCTTCAGATTATCTACTCT